CCCTTTGTCTCAGACAGTACTCAGTTTGATTTCTTTATAAAATGTTTATGGTTTTGATAAACAAAGGAGATTTGTTTCTTGTATTTAAGTTCACACTATTAGTATGGAAACACAGGATTGTTGGAATTTTAAGGAGCTTTTACTTATTAATTTTAATTCTTTTTTTTTTTTGTGTCAGTCATGGGGCTTGAACTCGGGGCCTGGGAGCTGTCTCTGAGCGTTTTTTTTTTGTTTGTTTTTTGGGGGTTTTTTTGGTGGTCGTGGGGCTTGAACTCTGGGCCTGAGCGCTGTTCCTCAGCTCTTCAGCTTAAGGCAAGCGTTCTACCACTTGAGCTAGGTGCCACTTCCGGTTTTCTGGTGGTTTATTGGAGATAAGAGTTTCATGGACTTCCCTGCCTGGGCTGGCTCTGAACCACGATCCTCTGATCTCAACCCCCTGAGTAGCTAGGATTACAGGCGTGAGCCACCAGGGCCCGGCGTCTTTGAGCGTTTTTGTTCAAGTTTAGTGCTCTACTACTTTGAGCCACAGTGCCACTTCTGGTTTTCTGGTGGTTAATTGTAGATAAGAGTCTCACAGACTTTCCTGTCAGGCTGGCTTTGAACTGTGATGCTCAGATCTCAGCCTGCTGAATAGCTAGGATTATAGGAATGAGCCACCAGGACCTGGCTTACTAATTTAAATTAAAAAAAAAAATTTATCATTCTTTGCATTTGTCAAATTATGTTCTGAGGGGAAAATACTATAAATCTGAAGATCAGGAAATAAAGAATTTGGTTGTAGGCCTGTTGTCATAACTACCCGTCATGGTAGTGTACAAAGATAAGTAAATTTTCTGTTTGAAGACTTTGAACTATCTCAGGCAGAGGAATCTAATGCATTATAGTGTTGGAGATACTTGGTTAGTGGGCCAGAATATTCTGCGTTAGTATAATAATGCAATGGGAAGATCCTCTGGGTGCTGGCTTTTTTGGGGTAAGTATATTTGGGCAGTATTTACTCATTCTTAGGAGGGTTGTGATGTGCTAATGCTGCTGTGCACTACAGCCGTGAGCTATTGTGAACTCTAGACCCGCCCTGTCCCAGTTGCAGGACATTTGGGACACTGGTGAACTGCAAGGGGCCAAAGCTTACTCTGGTTCTTTCTGTTTTGAGGTTTGTTCACTTGTGTTCTGTTTTAATCTTTGGGAGCAGGGTCAGTTTCCTTAAGGAAGGTTCTTTTTTTTTTTTTTTTGGGTCCGGTTGTGGGGCCTGAACTCTGGGCCTGGGCGCTGTCCCTCAGCTTTTCAGCTCAAGGCTAGCGCTCTACCACTTGAGCCACAGTGCCACTTCCGGCTTTTTTTCTTTTTGTTTATGTGGTGCTGAGGAATCGAACCCAGGACCTCAGGCATGCAAGGCAAGCACTCTACCACTGAGCCACCTTCCCAGCCCCTTAAGGAAGGTTCTTATCCATGGGTTTGACTCCACAGGCCTCCCGCTTGGGGTGACCTGCAGGACAATCCTCGCCGCGCCTCAGACTTCACCTTCACAGCAAGCACAGGGACAGGTGTTTGCCCCTTTGGTGCATGTCCCTCTCTCTCCCTCTTAGTCTGTCAGTATTACATCCCTTTACCCAAACACTCCACAATCTTCTGCATAGCATATCTGTGGCTCAGTGTCCTGGAACACGTTCTCTCCAGCGTGAAGCCCCTCACCCAAGCACTCATATGCACATGACCCAGCCTGGATGCTACTCTGATATGGTTTGGGAAGGGGTCTCATGAACTTTCCTACCCAGAATGGCTTGTAATTATGATCCTCCTATTCTCAGTTCTCCAACTAGTCTCCCCAGGCATGAGCCAATAGCAGCTGGCTTTTTTAGCCATTATATATGATACTTAGGCTCATTTTTTTGTTTTGTTTTTTTTGTCGGTCGTGGGACTTGAACTCTGGGCCTGGGCGCTGTCCCTCAGCTCTTCAGCTCAAGGCTAGCGCTCTACCACTTGAGCTACAGCGCCACTTCCGGTTTTCTGGTGGTTTATTGGAGATAGGAGTCTCACGGTCTCTCCTGCCCGGGCTGGCTTTGAACCGCGATCCTCAGATCTCAGCCTCCTAAGTAGCTAGGATTACAGGCGTGAGCCACCAGCGCCCGGCTACTTAGGCTCATTTTTGTGGAGTGTTTATGTGTGTGTATTTAGCACATGGATCTATAATTACCAGCCAGAGACGAACCAATTTCCTTAATTAGATGCCAGTGCCTGTAATCCTAGTTATTCAGGAGGCTGAAATCAGGATAGCTGTTCAGAGGCAGCCTGGACAGGAAAATCTAAGACTCATATCTCCAATTAACCAAAAAGCTGTAAGTAGAGCTGTGGCTCAAGTAGTAGAGCACCGGCCTTGAGCAAAAAAGCTGAGGGACAGCGCCTAGACCCTGAATTCAAGCCTCAGATCTGGCAAGTAAACACACCAAAAAATTCCCTTAATTGGATTAAGGTTAAACAATGCTTTTTTTTTTTCTTTCTTTTCAGTACTGGACCTGAACTCAGGGTCTTATATTTGTCAGGCACTGGTACACTACTTGCTAAGACATGTTCCAAACTTTTTGCTTTTATTTTTCAGATAGGGTCTCAAAGTTTTCTGAGGCTGGTCTGAACCTATGTCTGCCACATCACTGGAGTTACAAGCACTTGTCACCATACCCAGCTTATTGGTTATAACTGATTCTTTTTTGCCCAAACTGGACTTGAACCATGATTCTCCTGATCTCTGCCTCTCATGTAGCTGTGTTTACAGGAATAAGCCACCATGCCTGGCTTAAGCAAAGATTTTTTTTTTTCTTTTGTCAGTCATGGGGCTTGGATTCTGGGCCTGGGTGCTGGCCCTGAGCTCTTCAGCTTAAGGCTAGCGCTCCACCACTTGAGCCACAGTGGTTTTCAGGTGGGTCTCATGGACTTCCCTGCCCAATCGGGCTTCAAACCACAATCCTCACATCTCAGCCGCCAGTACCCAGCTAAGCAAAGCTTTTAAACGTTTTTTTTCTTACAAGGTTTCAACTTGATTACAAGTTCTGATTGGCAGCTTTAGATTTCTTGGTTAAAAATTTAAATATATTTTGTTCAGAGAAGTCTTAATAATGAAGTTGGTTCTTGAAAAGATTACAAACGTGGGCTGAGAAGGTGGTTCAGTGGTAGAGCGCTTGTCTTGCATGCTCAAGGCCCTGGGTTCGATTCCTCAGCGCCACATAAGCAAAAAGAAAAAAGCCAGAAGTGGCGCTGTGGCTCAAGTGGTAGAGCGTTAGCCTTGAGCTGAAGAGCTGAGGGACAGCGCCCAGGCCCAGAATTCAGGCCCCACGACCGGACCCCCCAAAAAAAGAAAAGATTACAAACATTTGTAGCCGGTGCTTAGTGAATGTGTTTTGAACTAGAATATATACAAGTATTTGCCATTTCTTTAAAAAGTTACCTGTCAAGCGATTTTTTAGTCTTGTAAGTTTGTAAACATCTTTCTGTTTTGATGTAGCCCTGCTGTTGAACACAGATAGCTGGCTGCCATTCTGGGGCTTTTCTTATCTTCCCACTCCTATAGATAATCTCCCATCTTCTTCCCTTCGTCTCCAGCTGCTGTCTCTGTCCAGTGAGAGGCTCATCACATGTTGTGGGTCTCAGGCTGTTACCTTCGTGGAACTTCAGCCCCACATGAGGTCTGCCCTTTTACCACGTCTCTGGGTCTGACTCACACAAGAATCTTCATTCGGTCTTCATTGTTAGCCTTGATCGTGCACTCTCATCCTATTCCCAGCCCCTTGTTTAAGTTTCCTCTGCCCCTTCCCCTGGCTGCTGACTGTCCTTCTCTTCCTACCACAACTGTATTGTGACCATTACTGGCCACCTCATTACATATTCCCTGCTTCTTTGCGCTATTGATGACTGCTAACACTGCTGAGCATTTGGTCACCAGCTGTGGAGGAGCAGTCTCAGGCCCCTCAGCATTGCTGCTCTGAGTAGGACAGTATTAATTGCCATGGGTCATGTTAATTCTGCAGGTGACCCTGCCCAGCAGGGTGTGCCACTCCTACCCCACAAGGACCCCTTTCCTCTGATGGGCAATCTGCTCTGGAGCACCCATCAGCCTAAGACTTCTCAGAAATGATCTTTGGGCCTCTGTGACAGCACTGCAACCCAAAGGCTCCTCCTGTCTTCCACTTTGTCCCCCCTTACCTTAGCAGGTGTGAAGGTGGAGATAGAGTAGCAGAAGCTACACTGCCAGGCTGTGTTACTCTGCTGGATAAAAGCCACCTCTGAACACCAGCTGTATGATAAAGTAAGACAAAACACATCACGTCATAATTTTGTGTAGCAGACAACTGACAACAAGGTTCTTATGATGCCTGCAAATACCACACATCCTGCCGGCTAAAATAAGAGACTGATCCCTTTTCTAAGTAAGTACAGCTTTATTCGTACCCTAACAAAAAGCTGAAGCATATATATTCACAGGATGCCTTGATCTTCAACGTCTCATCCACCACTCTGCATTTCTGATGTTTATATGTTATCCCACTTGGGTATTTTGTCATAGCAGTCTGATAAGATAGTGTCTTTAGGCTATACTGGAAATTACCCTAAGTAAATAGGATTAAAAAAATTGATACTGGAAAAAAATATACCACATTACCTGTGGTGAGAAAGATTTGCATTTAAAAATTACCTTAGGGCTAAGGATGTAGCTCTGTGGTAAAGTGCATTCCTAACATGGGCAAAGCCCTGGGTTTGATCCCAGCACTACCAAAAAAAGGACAGAAAAGTGTCAAAGGAAAATCTTACTGGCATCTTGTCTTGTTTACATAATAAGTTTGCCTTTAATTTGTGAATTTCAAGCTTAATTATATTTCTCTCAAAATGACTTAAGTATATAATCAGCTATGTTTTATTTGTAGCTCTGATCAAACTTAATGTACACTTTCTATTTTCAGTCTTTTTCTTCCTTTAATTTTATCTTTATGGAAAAGCGATACAAATCACAACCATTTTGTTATTATCCAGTTATTTAAAGTTTTATTCAGAGAGCAGAAACGTCAACACTGCATAGAATTACATGTGTTTATAGGCCACTTGCTGGAGCAGCACCAAAGGGTTGAGAAGATATTTTTCCCACGGAAAGTTGCATTGAATCTCATCTAATTGTGTTGCTCTGGCAGGGAGAGGGTAAGAAGAGTCCCTGCAGGCTGGGAGCAGGATCAGCACCGAGAGCAGTTCAGTTCCAAGTCCCTTCAATTTGATCACAGTCCATGCACTGGCGATGCAACATATTCTGAGGCAAATGGTCCCAAACCAGAGGCCACAGGCATGGCCGACTCAGGAATAGACAGTCCAGGAGCCTTTGAAAGGCCCATGTTGGCACAATGGTCACTGCAACTGAGATGCATTGCAGAGCAAGGAAACACTGTAGAAAGTTCCAGTTGTACCGTCTTGGTTAGTCCTTGCAAAGCCCCTCGTGAGGTAGGTGTTATCCCGCTGTCTATCTCCACCTAGACCTTGGTGGTCAAGGCCTGCTGTCTATGCAAGCTAGAGTACATTCCTAGCAGGTTTTCATGTGTGTTTATTTGGATTGGATTGGCTTTTCTGTGTCTTTTGAACTTTGTTTTACTCCTCTTTCTTTTGAGGTTAGGTGTGCGTTTTGGAATTACATTATTTTACATAGCAACAACTTTTCAAGTGGAGGTTGACTAGTATCCTAAGGAAAATGGAAACCACTTTTCAAGCAGACTGGGAATCACTAAGGCTGACATACCACAAAGTGGAGCTCTGCAATACAGACACCTAGGAATACAGCGTGTCGTTAGGAAAGTTAGTAACATTGTCATCTGGGTATCTTATTTCTAATAGCAATACTTACACGAATGTGTGTCACAATGAAATTGGAAGTGTTAATACCAAAACTTCATTTTAGCTGTCATATGGAAATGATTATCAGCAAGTTATTTGGTTGGTTAGTTTTCCTTCATTCTGATGGTTTAAATGCTTTTCTGTCATCCTGTAATGCATTCCAAAGGTTGGCTTAGAAAGAAAAGTACTTGGTGAACCATTCCTGGTGTGCAGAGCCCTGCTTCTGCTGGGCCTCCTTGGCTTGGGTGGTTTCCCCCTCTTGTGGCCTAAAAACAAGCAAAAAGTGGTTTTGAGGAGTATTCTCTCTTCCAGGGAAAGATACTTCCTTCTTTCTTTCTTTTTTGTTGTAGTACAGTTAAAGGTCTTTAACTTTTGTTCTAATTCACTTTATTGTTGTTTCAGCAGTGATGTACAGCAAGGTTACATTGACGTATGTCAGGTAATGAGTACATTTCCTTTCCAATAATGCCATCTGTCCCCTCATTCTCTCCTGTCCCCCCTCCCATCTCCACCACAAGCTGTGTAGTTTGCTTCCATCAGTGTCAGTGCACTCTACCACTACGCCCTCCTCCACCCTCCCACAGATGTGCACGTGAGTGCACTGTATATAAGGTAAATACAGAGACATCAGAAAAAGAAAAACCAAATTAAGAAAAAAGACCTTTGCTTCCGTATCTTCAGAGTTCACTACAGTATGTATATTATTTTATATACATATGAAGAGATACTTGGGTATTGCGCCCTTGTGATTATATCCTCTTTTGGTGTCATTATATGTGAGTATCTAGGATTCTGTGTAGTTTGTCATATCATAGTGTGTTTTAAATCTAACTTCTGCATATCAGGGAGAACATGTACCGTTTGTCTCTCTGGTCTTGGTTTACTTTACTTAACATGATTAGTTCTAGTTCCATCCATTTCCCTGCAAATGATGTATTTTATTCTTTCTAATGGCTGTGTAAAATTCCATTCTATATAGGTAGCACATCATTTGGATCCACTCATCTATTGTGGGGCATCTGGGTTGTTTCCATATCTTGGCTATTGTGAATAGTGTGGCAATGACCATGGTTCATGATGCTCAGCGTAGATGCCAAGGAGTGGTATGGGTGGGTTGTAGGGAAGGTTTATGTTTAGTTTTTTGAGGAACTTCCAGACTGCTGTACAGAATGTTTGTACTAGTTTACATTCCCACCAACAGTGCAGTAGGGTTCTTGTCCCCCCACATCCCCACCAGCATTTGTTGCTAGAATCCAAAATGTTGTCCAATCTAATTGGTATATCCTTTACTCTTCAAAAGATATCTGCCTGTGGCCTGGCCATGAGTAGCTAAAAACAACTGTAAAAGTTGAGGTGTAGAGGGGGTATGTTGTTCCTGTTTCCACAACAGAAGAGTCTCTATTGTTTGCTTGTCCATTGTTTCCTTGAATTCTTAGTGGTTATTAATGAGGTATATTTTACAACATGCATTATTGATTGCAGGCACAAATTAGACAGCGAGCCCAATTTTAAAAAGTTAAAAACAAGCCAGGTGTGGTGTCAACCAGCTACAAGAGGTGAAGGTAAGAGACTCCCAGTCTGAAGCTGGGCAGGCCAAACCCAGCAACCAGTCTGAAAAGGAAGCTAGACAAAAGGGAATAGGGGTGTGACTCGCCTGCCTAGCAAACATGAAGCCCTGAGTTCAAACCTAGTGTCTGCCAATTATAAGCTCATACTTGTAATCATAGCTTCTCAGAAGGCTGAGATATGAGGACTGTGGTTTGAAGCCAGCCCAGGGAGGAAAGTCCATGAGTCTTACCTCCAGTTAACTACCAAAAAATCTAGAAGTGAAGTGTGGATCGAGTGGTTGAGTGCTTCCTTGAGCAAATAAGGTCAGAGATAGTGCTGAGGCCCTGAATTGAAGCCCTCGTACTAGCACACACAGACACACAGATTAAATAAATAAATACATGTAAAAACAACGGTTAATCAACAGTGCTAACATGTCTTTGACATTGTCCAAAAAGAAATATACTCAATACCTGACTTGTGAAACTAACCCCTCTGTACATCACCTTTATAATAATTTTTTAAAAAGAGAGACTCACTTTTCTGACCCAATCTTCCAGTCTTTAACTATAGTGTCATTTCTGCCAGACAGGGCTCCTTCTGCTATTCTTTCCATCTGCCCAAATGCCAGGCATTTAGCAGGTGCCAGAAAGGGTGCCTGTCCACACCCCCTAGAAGAACTGGAATAATACCCACTTACCCCTGCTTACCTCAGAGCAGTTTTTGCATCTAGAGCCTGGGCAGCTTTGTAAGGTCGGCTACAGCTGGGGCTGGGGTCCAAGCTGGGAGATTTAGTGATGGGAGGGGCATTGATCCTGGAGCTCAGATCTCCACTCAGAAAGTTCTTTGCATAGGAGGCAAGGTTTGGCACACTGACCACTCTGCTGGGCACCTCCTCCATCTTCTTTTTCTGTGTGTTAGTGGAAAATAACTGCTAGTACTTCTCCCAAATCACACTGCTGTCAAGTAAGTGAGGCCCACCCAGACAAAATTCAAAATTATATTATTTTTAAGGTTATCTTTCTCTTTCAGTGCTGGAACCCAATACTTTAAGCATTCTAGATAACTACTGTACACTGAGCCATATTCTCAGCACTTTGAACATATTTCTCCAATCTATTTTATGTTTGTAAAAGCACATGTTCAGTGCTGGGCGTCAGTAGCTACTCCTGTAATCCTAGCTACTCAGGAGGCTGAGATCTGAGGATCATGGTTCAAAGCCAGCCAGGGCAGGAAGCTCTATAAGACTCTTATCTCCAGTAACTACTCAGAAAACTGGGAGTGGCGCTGTGGCTCAAGTGGTAGAGTGCTCCCTTGAGCTGAAGAGCTGAGGGACCACGCCCAGGCCCAGAGTTCAAGCCCCACAACCAACCAAAAAAAACAAAAAAGCACATATTTACAGTCTCTTTATCCAGGTGCATACCTGGTGGTTCTTTTTTTGTTTTAAGAATTTGGAAGAGCATGTAATAATATCTTATACAGAGGCTGCCTAACCCATTCAGTAATATCTTTGAATGAAGCTTAATATTGTCAACACAAAGATATATTGAAAACTATAAATGCACTCTGTTGGTTCAGGTCACTTAAGTTTATTATCCTGTCAGCCGTGGAAAATACTTGGAGGATTATGAGTACCAATCTGGGGTTCTCTAGTCTTAAAACAAACCCAATCCTAACAACAGCAAACCGTGGTACCACTTGCAGGATATATGGTAGTACATTCCCCAGTTCCATTAAAAAAAAAAAAAGGCTGTGTGTGGTGGTACATTCAGGTAATTTATTCAGCTACTGGGAGGCATAGGTAGGAAAATCCTGGTCTGAGTCAGCCCCAGGTAAATATGTGAGATTTTATCCAAATAAAAACAACAGCAAAACATTTAAACTTAAAAGCAGAAGAGGGCTAGTGTGTCTCCAGTGAGAGAGCACCTGGCTGGCGAGTGGGAGGCCTGGGTTTCCCCCAGTACCACGCTCTTCCAAAGAAGGAAGTGGAAGCTACCAACCACTTCCCTACTTACCAGACAGGGTTGTTTTTGTTTTTGTTTTTTTTTCCTGTGGGTCCTGGGGCTTGAGCTCTGGGCCTGGGTGCTGTCCCTCAGCTCTTCAGCTCAAGGCTAGCACTCTACCACTTGAGCCAAAGTGCCACTTCTGGTTTTCTGCTGGTTAATTGAAGATAAGTCTCACGGACTTTCCTGCCTAGGCTGGCTTTGAACTCTGATCCTCAGATCTCAGCCTCCTGAGTAGCTAGGATTATAGGTGCCTGACCAGAGGTATTACATAGGAAAACAGATTCGTAGAAAATAATAGTGAAAAGGAGTAACAGTGGGCAGACCACACAAAATGCCCACTGTTGGTTAATACTTTGGACGGTTTATTTCCTGTGGGTCTTTTTGCAATGATGATTTATTTGAATATCCATCAATATACTACTGCTACTTTGAAGAGAAAGGAAGTAAGCAGATCTGTGTCACACATGAAAACCAAAGTGTATGGGGGCACCCAACAACTCACCTTCATGGAAGGGGTCAAATACCCTGGGTGCGGGTTGAAAGAGAAGGAGCGATTCCGATGGGACATCGTGCTGGGGAATGCAGCATAGTGAAATCTTCTCTCTTCCTAGGAAGCAAAGAACAGAATTTAAGTGAGCCTAAGAACAGGGCACTGGGAGCCATAGAGATGTTTCCAGATTAGAAGACTCAGTGGTATCCTGAGGAAATCAGTTCTTCCTAAAGTGACCCTGGCACTGGGTTTGACTTGAAAGGAGATGGCTAGGGAGGCGGAAGCTAACAAGACCAGGGGAGGGAGAGGAAGTCCATCAGGCAAGCTGCCAGCCTCTGAAGCTGGAAGTATCTTCACTCCCTTCCCTCTCTTGTGTAGAAAAGGGTGAGCAGATTTCTCAACGAGAGAAAAATACAAGCAGTCTTAGCCTTTGAAATCACAAGTCTATGCAGAATGTTACTTATTGAGGCAATGAAATAAACTCCCCCATACACTCCCACATGTACACCTTCTTTCCTTCTGGCCTTTCCTTTTGTCTTACATTTCTATCACTGTTGCTTTCTAATGTATGCGCAAGTACAGAGGTTAACACAACCCCTCTCTCACTTGGGCTATATGTGTGTGTCTTCTCTCAGTTTGTCCTTCTCCTGTGTTATTCTTAAAGCAAATTTGCTTTGCAGTTATACAAATTTGAATACCTTTTTCTAGTAGATGAAGGATTCTTTTTTAAAGAAAGAATTGTAATGAGTCCACCATTCCTCACAATTAGCAAGCCCTTCTTAATATGCTCTAAATATCAGTCGGGTCAAAGTAGGAGGCAACAAGGAGGTAAGGTGATCATGGGTGGAAGGAAGGAAAGACAATCCAAAGGAATGCTAGGCCTTGATGACTGGGAAAAAGAATCAGAGGTATTTGGAAATACTCTCTGAAGGAGCCTGGGGAATTGTTTTGCATTTAAAAATATGTGGTCATTTTTAATGAAAGGAGGATTACTAAATGATAAATCTGATTGATTCTACTAATATCCCATGTCAAGTCATTCCAGATTTTTCTCAGGTTTTCTACTAGGCTAAAAAAAAAAAAAAAAGAATCAGCTGGGCACCAGTACCTCATGTTTATACTCCTAGCTACTTAGGAGACTGAGATCTGAGCATCACAGTTTGAAGCCAGCCTGAGCAGGAAAGTCCATGAGGCTCTTACATCCAATAACCACTCAACAACCAGAAGCAGAGCTGTGGCTCCAGTGGTAGAGCATTAGCCTTGAACGAAAGAGCTCAGGGAGAGTGCCTAGGCCCTGAATTCAAGCCACATGACTGCCAAAAACATCAAGCAAATATTATTGTCCTTTGATTTTCCTATATCAATTTTTTTTTTTTTTTTTTTTTTTTAAGAAAACTTGACAGAGTTTTATTAAGTAAACAGACAAGGAAACAAAGACAAAAAGCTGACAAACAGAAGGGCAGGGGCACACTAGCAGAGTGTGGGTGCTCTCTCATAGGGACACAAAGACACATAGAAAGACACATACACAGACACATACAAGGAGACACCCCAGAGAGACACCTCCTATATCAATTTTTAAGGAGTGCTTTTTAATACTAGAAAAAAAAAAAACAGAAGGACGAGTCTTCATAAGGCCAAATGTTAGGCTGTTAGCCATGCGCCTGGTGTACAGTAAGCCCCAGGCCCCCGCTATGCACCCAGAGGTTTGCAGGTGGTAGCTGACGGCCCTGCCTCATGCTGCCGCCTCACCGTGAGCTGCTTGATGATCTCCTCCCTCTCCTTCAGGCGAGTCTGCAGACGGCCTATGAGCTGCAGGTCCTCCGGCCTCGATACTCCCTTTCCTGGCTTCTCTCCGCAGTCTTTCAGTCTGTTCAGGGCAGACAAGCAGTTACTACAGCAGCTACTCAACAAGGCAAAGGGAGACCAAGTGCTCAACCTAGGATGCGGTGGTTGCTCAGGATGGGATGTTGTGTTGGCTCAGCTCAGCCAACCTGCTGTGGAGGTAGAATTCAGGGTACCAGGCGTCAGGCCCTAGAAGCCAAAGACTCATGTGTGCACATGGATGTTGCATGCCACCAGGGATGCAAGAGCTGGGGATGTTGCTAGAAGACCTGGGAAGAAAATGCTGGATGGACAACAGCCGAGTCCTCTCCCTATCTATGTTGAGGTGGCTCTGGCGCCATCTCCTGGGCACATAGGGTGCAACATGAGCTTGTCTTCTCTGAGCAGAGGAGAAAGTGGGACCCACAGTCCCCTTTAGCTTCTGGGGGAGAAGAAGGGCTTTGCTGCAGCTGATCTACACTGTAGTTAAGAAGCTAGGGTTTGCAGAACATTACAAGTCAGGATAGAGTAAAGACATTTGAACATACTTGTTCACTGTTGGATTATTCACAAGAGCCAAGTTATATAAACAGCCCAGATAAATAGATCAAGAAAATGTAGAACATATATACAATGGAATTTTTTTCTCATCAATTAGAAAGAATAATATATCATTTGCAGGGAAATGGATGGACCTAGAAGAAATTATATTAAGGGCTGGGAAGGTGGCCCAGTGGTAGAGTGCTTGCCTTGCATGCATGAGGCCCTGGGTTCAATTCCTCAGCACCACATAAGCAAAAAGAAAAAAGTCAGAAGTGGCTCTGTGGCTCAAGTGGTAGAGCGCTAGCCTTGAGCTGAAGAGCTGAGGGACAGCGCCCAGGCCCAGAGTTCAGGCCCCACAACCGGACCCCCCAAAAAATAAGAAATTATATTAAGTGAAGCAAGCCAGGCTTGGAGAGAGAAAACCATACATTTTCTCTCATGTGTGGAAGCTAGATCTAAAATACAAATATGCATGATAACATATACAGGGTTCAATACATTTACACACAAACTGACTAAAGGATGGTATACTTAAGGGAAGAATCCGAAGGCATAACTCCTCTGAACAACTAATATGCTGCTTACCAACATGAATACAGGAAGTAGAAACATGGTTTTTTTTGAGGGGTGAGAAATGGAGGAAGAGCAAAGGAATGGAGGGAGAAAGGACAAAAAAATAAATCATTATATTTGATGTACACAATGTAAAAAACAGTCTACATTTGAGAGTAGAGACGAGGGTGGAAATGGGGGTGAGCAAAGGAAGGGGTGACAACTGACCAAGAAGCCTGGTACTCAGAACCTGACTTATGGAATTGTAGCCCCTTTGTACAACTACAAAGTACTAACAATAAATGTGCTAGGGTTTGGGGTGAGACTCCCAGCTCAAGTCCTGGCTGTGCATTTTTCTAGCATAACATTTCACCCATGAGCTTCAGTCCTTTTTAAAATGGTTGTGAAACTTGGTTGGTTGTGAGGGCTCAATGAGACCGTGGCTGGCTGGCACAGAGCAAGCGCCCATTGGATGTAGACTGGTAAAATCTTTCATGGCAGCTTTTGGCTGAGTAGTTTTGCACTCAAAGGCAGTGAGCACACACGCTACTGTGGGTCAGACATGTGTCCTCAAGTTCACTTCATGCTGTGTAATTGGGCAAGTGGTTTCACTTGTCTGTATCCAGCTCGCTCGCTGCAGTCACTTCCTAAGTGGTCTCCCTGTCAATCATCCTCTTCTCTTAGCTTTATCATCACTTAGCAACCAGAAGTGATCCTGTTAAAGCTAAGTCATTCCTGCCCAAAGCCTCCCAGTGGCTTCTCAAACACTCAGGGCTGACCCAAACACCTTTGCTTTCAGGGCAGGATTCCTTCACCCTCCTCACCTCCTACCACTCGCAGCTCACTCACTTACTCCATTCAATACATGAGCCTTCTAGTTGTTTTCAGCCACGTGTTCCCAGACCCTTGCACTTGCTGGTCCTTCATATGGCTCTCCGAGACATGCAGTTGCTTTGCCTCTTTGTACCTCCTCAGAGAGGTCTTCCTGCGTACCTTTGTACCCCTCTACACTCGGGCCCTGATTTTCTTCTAGCACTTTCACCATGTGGTATGAGGGTAACACTCACTTGTCTCCTTATTTCTTGTCTGAATAAACATTTAATATTTATGAGCACTATGAAAACAAGGTCTTTGTGTTTTGCTATAATCAAGAGCCTAAAATACTACCTGGCACACAGTGAGCTCTTAAAAGATATGTGCTGAATGAACATAGGAATTCATGCACACATGTACAGGGACCTCTTTTCTTCATCTGTTGAAGAATAACAATTTCCATCTTGAAAGACAGTGAAGGTTTGGGGAGATAATATATGTTAGGACTGACAGAAACGCGGTTTTTAGAAGTAGCCCAGATCCTGGTGATTTCTTCTGTAAGGGGTGAATGTACCCCAAGGCATTATTGATTCTTACAGATTCCCACTGCTCTGCAGCCTCATGAAATTGTTCTTGTGTGCCTAGAAACAAAGGACTTCCTGGAACTTGAAACTTGTGGATTTCAAACCAGGAACATGTAGAGACCCTAGGAGACGCTGATATCCCCACAAATGGTAAATCTGCTAGTCTCTTCCAACCCAGGGCCCATGGTCATACTCACTCAGCCTCCAGGGCAGCCAGCCGGGCCTGGAGTCGGGCCTGGGCCCCACTAAAATCAGCCACCATGGCCTGCATCTCCTTCCGGTGCTCCTGGCGAAGTGCCTCCACCTCCCTGGCCCTCTGAGCTTGCTGGTCCTCCTCTAGCAACCTGTGGTGGACAGATGCACGTTCAGGCTGGCCCAGGCTCAAGGGCTGAGTCCCTTGAGTCTTTAGGGTTTATTACCTTCTCTGCTGACAGACTGGCCTAATTGGGGGACCCCTGAGTTGAGGATTACAGCCTAAGGTCCATGTCCCCATAAGAAGGAAAGCTGGATCTTTGAGTTATGGGGACCTCCTCTCAACAAACTCCCTGGCCATTCCACATCTGTGGAAAAGAAATCCAAAAGGAGAGCCACCTTCTGGGAGTAAATGGAGAACAGACCTGGAAGGAGCCCCAGAAAACATGTTCCCCACGAGGCAGCTGGAACGGTCTCACGAAGGCCTGGGAGACCACTGGTCCATGATCAGATGGGGTTTGAGAATATCCCTTAGGGCCAGCTGCAGCGACCACGCTTGTTCTTGATCACTTCCAGCTGTGCGGCTGACAATGGGCAGTGTCCTCTGCTGTTCAATGGCAGTGACACTGGTCTCCACGTTACAGGATCACTGCATGAGTCTAGAGGACCCCCAGAGTACAAAAGATGTATCCAACCACCGGCCATCATTGTTTCAACCCCCAGGTGTGGCCCTCAGAAATCACTGCTTAGCTTGTACAATATATTTTTCCCGCAGAGAGGAACACTGCTTTCCCGACTTAGAAGGGAAGGTAACTCAAAGTAGTGATGATACTCCACCCAGGCCCATCTCTTTCTAGGGAATTGCCCAGGGCCATACAGCAGGTCATTAACTGAATCTACAAGATACCGCTCTTCTCAGTGAGCTCAGGACAGCTCCCTTGAGAGGGAGCCCCATGACCTAATCTTAGATGGGGCTTCAGTTATACCAAGACATGATCTTGGTAGGGAGCTGCTCCCCATCTACAGCCTAGAACTCAGAATGGTCACGTTCCTGGGACAGTGCTCCTGCCCATCCCTACCTGTTACTTGAGCCTGGGACTTGAGTCCCAGTTACTTGAGTCCCAGTTACTTGAGTCCCTCAGCTCCTGCAACCAGAGTGGGCCTTGAGTTCAGATTTTTTCAAAGTTCATTTTGATAAGTATTATTTTATCAGATGCACCGAGGCATGTTGCACCTTCATGTTCCTCCTCTAAAATCCTTTGGCCTTGCTGTGTGCAAATGTCTAGAGTACTAGAGTTCCGATTTTTAACAAAGCTCTCATGGGGCGTCTCAGCCTGGGAACCTGGGTCCCAGGGTTCCATGTCTATAGGACACCCTTTCTTTTAATGATCTTAACCTGTGTGCTAGGCAATGTTCTTCCACAGGCCTGGAGAAGGTAGGAAACATGCCCAAGGATATGCTTAAGAGGCAGAATTAAAACAGATCAAAGTAAGAACCCAGCTGTCCTACACCTACTGGTGATGGGAAGCCACTTATGTGAGTCCCGCAGAACTGCTTTCCTCTCTTCCATAAAGAAGTGTTGGGAAGGGTAAAGGAATCAGCATAGCCAAAGCCCAAAGCAGTTTTGGGCTCATGCAACAGGGTTCAACATACGTAGCTAACAAATAACAGGAGGGAGGGGGGAAACAATCCAGGATCTTCCAGACATTAAAATGACGAAAGAAAGAAAAGAAAAGAACGAAAAGAAAGAGAAGGAAGGAAAGAAGAAAAGAGAGAGAGGAGAAAGAGAGGGAGGAAGGAAGGAAGGAAGGAAGGAGAGGAGAGGAGAAATCAACTTCATCCTTGAGGCTGGGACCTTTTCAGAAACTGAGATGAAGTCCAGGAATCCGTTTACAGGAGACGCCTCGGGCAGGGCGGAGGCCCGGGCCGGTCGGGGCCCACAGCCCGGGGGGTGGGGAGGGGGGGGGTGGCCGGCTCACCCATGTGAACTACCCCACCGCCCTGCTCTTCTGGCCCAGTTGTTCTGGGCCAAGCCCCCGAGGTCTGGGGGATCTAGACGTCCCAGAACATGGGAACTGCTCAAGATCCAAGGAGCCTGCGGGAGACCGAGGCCCACGCACCTGCGCTGGTCGCGGAGCTGCAGCGCCTCCTGCTGGTGCTGCTCCGCCTCGGCGCGCAGCCGCAGCAGGGCCTCCTGCAGCCGGGCGAGCTCCTCCTCGCGAAGCTGGTGCGCCGCCGCGCTCGGGGCCTGGCCGGCGGAGGCGCGGGTCAGGTCCAGGGCCTCTGCGTCCTGAGCAGAAGACCGGGGTTCTCAGGATCGGGCGAGGCAGACACGACACAGGGAACAGAGATGGAACGCAGCCCAGCGTGGGCCCAAACCAGGCTCCTGGCTGCTCTGCTCTGCTCTTTCTCCTCCCTCCCTCCCTCCCTCCCTCCCTCCCTCCATCCCCCCCCCCCCCCCCCCCCGCCCCATCTCTCTCTGCCAGTCCTGGGGCTTGAGCTCAGGGCCTGGGCGCTGTCCCGAGCTTCTCTTGCTCGAGGCGAACACTCTACCCCTTGAGCCACAGCACCGCTTCCAGCTTTTTCTGTGTGGTACTGAGGACTCGAACCCAGGGCTTCATGCATGCTAGGCAAGCACTCTCCCACGACGCATCTTCCCAGCCCACATCTGCTCTCGTGGTTATTCGTTTTTTTCTTTTTTGCGGATCCCTGGAGGGCTCTTTGAGGATTATTCTTCACGTCCCTAGAACTGGCTGAGCCAGTGCCCTGGGAGCTTCAGGGTGGAGGGTTTTAGCGCTTGGTGGGTGAGCTGTTCGCAGGAGCAGGCCTCCTGCTGGGGGGAAGCTGGGCCGGAGGAGCAGGGGGGTGGCCAGGCAAGGGTGTGGTCATGAGCAAGCCAGAGCCAGAGAGGGGACCAGGCAGGGAGACAGCCTGTGGCCAGCAGTAGTGGCTTTTCTTTCTCTTTCTTCTTTTTCCCTTTTCCTCTGCTCCCTCCCCTCTCTTCCTCCCTTTCTCCGTCCTCCCTTCTTTCCTATCCTTCCTCACTTTCTCTCTTTTGCTTACATGCTTCTTCCTTCCTTCCTTCCTTTCTCTCTCTCTCTCTCTCTCTCTCTCTCTCTCTCTCTCTTTCTTTCCTTTTCTTTCTCCCCCCTCCTTTTCATGTCATAACTAGAGCTTGAGCTCAGAGCCTGGGCATTGTCCCTTAGCTTTTTCACTCAAGGCGGGGGCTCTAGCACTTGAGTCACATCTTTACTTCTGACTTTTTGGTGATTAATTGGTGAAAAGTCTCATGGACTCTTCCCTGCCTGGGTTGGGTTTGAACCATGATCCTCAGATCTCAGCCTCCTGAGTAGCTAGAGTTCCAGGTATGAGCCACCTGCGCCTAGCTAGTGGAGGCTTTTTGATGCCAGTCTGGAGGTCATTTGGAGCTTATGTCAGTGGGAGCCACTAATGTTTTTATACAAAATCGTGCTAGGACAATGAGAAGTACAAAATGTCATGTCAAAACCAGCTTTACAATGTCGGTGGGGGGGGGGGGTATGATTGGGTGGGGGGTAGGGGGGAGGCTGGGAAGGGAGGTGAAGGGTAAACAAAGGAGGAGGCTGCAATGCTTGGTAAGAAATGTATGCATTATCCTGCCCATGTAATTGTAACCCCTCTGTACAGTATGTTCTCAAATAAAATAAAATTAAATTTAAAAAAAAATCGTGCTAGGCATCATCTGGATATCTGAAGCAGTTTGTGGTAAGATGGAGGAGAGAAGCCAGGACTACTAGGAGGTCACTGTGCTGCTGGCTAGAGCAGAAACTGTGGGCCTGCAGGGAAGGGGCTGGTGGGTGAAGTCTGAGCAGGAAGTTGAGAAGAGTCCTACAGAACCTGGCTGTGGAGGCTCCTCCTCCACAGACCCCTTGCTGGGGGTTTCTCTAAGGAGGTTTCTGAGAAATTCTTCTGCAGACCAAGGTGTGGTTTGTTGTCTAGAGGCTATTCTGGCACCTACACTTCAAGATGATATGAATCTTAACTATAAATAAGGTATAACACTAAGACCCCAGTTTTGCCTTTCAAGGGTGGGAATCTGCAGGAGGCAGCCCCACATGCATAGCTTTCTATTCAGCTCTTTGGGTTTATGACTCGTCTAATTAGCCAGAGGGTTCTATCCAAGTTGGTGCCCGGGAGGTCTGGCTTCTTCATGACAGAAGAGCTACTAGCAAACCCCTTTGCCATCCCATGGGAAATGCCAGTTGTAGGGTGAAGTCTGATGCTCCCTCAGTCAAATTAGGGGTTTGGGTCTAGATGGGTGATGGTCAGACTTTTCACTCATATATTTGTCTCTAGTTGCAGGCGGCCAACTATCCCCTGAGCTGTGGGCGATGAGCCCCACTTGGGGCTCGTCCCATATAGTGAATCCAGCCCTTGGAGCTCATCTTCTATGTGGCCACTCACTGTGGTCCACTCACTGTGCTGGCCCAGGAGGGGGATGGTGAGGGTAGGGCCAGGGCGCTCACCTCTGTGTTCTCAGTGTGGTCCTCACTGTTTTCTGGACACGGGTTGATGACCTGCTGTCTCCTCAAGCTCCCCAGAGCCCTCAGCTCAGCCCGCAGCACCTCCAGGTCCTTCTGGTACTCAGAGCAGGCAGCTCGCTGCTCTGACAGCTCCTGCCTGAGCGACTCTGGAAGAGAAAGACCAACAGGAGGTCATAGTCAAGGCTGAAGTCTGCCTTGCAGACCATCCTGGGTTACGGTTGGCATCTGAAGGCTGGGGAATGAATTCACTAAGTGTATTCCAAGAAACTGTTCTCATTCGGGCTCTACAACCATCTAATCTGGTTGGTGTTATCCTCCATTACAGCTCCATTTTACAACAAGCACCTGGAGAGGGTGAGTCAGATGCCCAGAACTTCACAGCTATTTCCTGGTGACTTGGGACTCAGTTTCTCTGAATCACCTCCTGGGACACTGATGTTGGTTGGGATGGGTAGCAGTTAGGGTGGGCCAGCCTGAGCCCTCCCTTATAGAAGGCCACATCCTGAGGCAATAGCAAGCCTCACCTCCCACGTCAAGGAACAAGGGGAAGAACGGGGACTTATCAGATGACCTAAGGACCTCCTTTGAGGCTCAGAACCTCAGGCCGGAAGTCCTGAAATCCATGTCAACTGTAGGGACATTCTCCTTGCCAGGGCAGGGGCCTTGGCTGGATGATGGAAGTGGGAGATAGAATGCCAACCCATCTGGACTAAATCTGGAACCATGCAGGAGAAATTTACTCAGGGGAACACTCATCAGAGCCCTACCAGGTGAAACTTTTTTTTAATCACAATTATTTTGCATACTGTGAAACTTGTCCAAGGTCACATAGCTACTGAGTGTCAGAATAGGCTTGGAGCCCAGGCAGTCTGGCTGCAGAGATCTTAATTGGCTCCCTTAGGCTCCATAGTGCTTCACGTGAGTTGTGTGTTTCATGTGGAAATGCAAGAGGTACTGCATTTCATGCTGGGGAAAACGGGGTGGGCAGAGGGAGAAGCAGGAACAAGTAGGTGCTGAGTGGCCTCAGTTTCCCCAGTTGGCAAGAAATCTTGAGAATGAAGACAGGAAATTGATGCAACACCATGAGGCTCTTAGAAAGGCTCAGAACTGTGCTATATTGAATAGTAACTGTATATGCAGGCACTGAGCTCACACCAAATGCTAGGTACACTGTATTTAATAGATTATTAAATCTACACTGTAACCCTACAAGGTAGAAACAATGGCAGCTCCTTTTTGTAGAACAGGAACCGGAGGCTCAGGGAACTCATCTAGATTCACAGTGGCGTGGGAGCAGAGCCAGAACTGTTCAGCTTGGCTGCCAGAGCCCTGGGCCCTGTTCTATGTGCTAATGGTCTTATTGGCGGGCCCTGCAGGAGACTGGGTCCCCCATATCGGGGGAGTTTTACCCAGCAGCAGGGTCTGCTGCGCTTGCATCCTCTCCCGCTCCTCTTGCAGCTCTTGCCTGGCCTTGTCCTCCAAGGCCTTTAGCTCCAGCAGGTGGGCCTGGTGTTGAATCTGGAGGCTGTGGCTGGATTCCTTCTTCACACGTTCCTCTGTGGCCTGAGAGCAGAAGCAGCAGAAAGCAGGCATCAGGCTACAGGTGATGGTCTAGCAATGGCCTTCCACAGCAGTCATTTTGTACCATCCACAGCTGATTGGTCCAGAGTGGACACGTGCGCTAGGATGGGCCAGTCAGAATTCTTTCTTTGGGAATTTGGTGTTCAGATGTGGGGAAGAAAGGGTGTAAGAAAGAAGGGCACAGATGAAATCTGCCACTGCCGATTTAACATGCTCAGGAGCACTGAAGTGAGCAACTTACATCTTCCAGGACAACTGGGGGGAGGCACCCATCTGCTAGGAGGTACGAAAGTAACCACTAGGATGTTTATGTCCGGAACCCTGGAAACCAAATATGTTGCCTTGCAAGGAAAAGCATGCAGATATGACTGATTAAGTTGAGGATGTTGGGGTGGGAGATTACTCTGAATTTTCTAGGTGAATCTCAGTCACAAGATTCATTATAAGAGGGATGCAGGAATGTCATTTGGAGATGATCTGATGGTGGAAGCAGAGGAGAAAACAGAAGAAGAGATCTGGAGTTGCTACACAGTTGGCTTTGAAATATATCAGGAGCCAGGAACCAAGGAATCCAGACAGCCTCTAGAAGCTGGAAAAGCCAAAGAAAGAAATTCGTCCCGAGAGCCTTTAGGAGGAATTCAGTCCTGCAAAGGACCTCGACTTTAGAAATTTGAATCTACAGAACTGTCAGCTAATTAATTTGTGCTGTGCTAAGACACTTAAATTGTGGTAACTTGTTGCTGCAGCAATGTCAAACTAATTGAGTCCTTCTGCTCCTCTCCCTTCCCTTCCACTCCCCTCCTTTTCCCTACCCATCTCTCTCCTTACCTCCTCTCCACTTCCCTCCTCTCTCCTCCCCTCCCCTCTCCACTTCCCTTCCCCTCTCCCCTCCCCTCCTCTCCTCTCCTTCCTGTACTCTCCTCTCCCTTCCCCTCCCCTCCCCTTTTTTCCCCTCCCCTCCCCTCTCCTCCCCTCTCCTTTCCTTTCCTTCCCTCCTCTCCTCTCCCTGTCCATTCCCCTTCCCTCCCCTTGGCAGTGGAGCTTCACAAGCCCACCAGGGGACACTCAACAACCCTAAAGCCAACTCAGTAACTGACCCCCAACAGGCTGCCATATGCACGTGGGCTTACTATGCCCACAGGAAACTCAGCCCATCAAACTCCCTGCACTTCCCTGGCTTAGAGAACCCTGATGGGTGACATTTGTATTCCCAGGGAAGTGGATATGAAAAGGGTTATCAAGGTTGGCAAAGTCTCTCTGGCCATGTGGCTCTGCATTTGTTTACATAGAGATGACCACAGATTCAGGCCAGCGGCCGTCTGGCTCCGAGGACAGACAGGACGCCACAGCTGGGGTTTCACAATGCGCTGGAGACGCATCCTCACCAGGCCCTCTAGCCCCAACGGCGGTCTAGATACTGCAAGTGTTCCACTCCTCTCTCCGTGTTCCATACAGTGTACAGCCTCTTTTCACTCTGTTGCCCAAAGACCCTGACACGCAAGTGAGGAGTGGACCTTTAGAAACCAGAGCCCTTGTCCTTCCCCTAGCCTGAGCACTTCATGTGCATTACTTCTTGATCTCCACCATCCCATAGGATACACTCTATTATTTGTCATTTTATAAATGAGGAAACTTAGGCACAATGGAGCTCGTGTTCTATCTGAGCTCTGACACTTCTAAAGGGGCAGATTCAGAACAGGAACTCTGCAGCTCACTCTTAACCACAGTGCTGTACGAGAAGTGACCAAATGTCTGCTGTCCTGTTTGGCAATGACGCCTATGAGTCTGGATGATGAAGACCCCCTAAACCTGGTAACAGATTCTTCAGGGTCTCCAAGGGGGCAGGGTACCCTGCTCCTGAGACCCTCCTCCTTCATTGAAGATCCAGAACCTCAGGGCTTCCCCCACCACCCTATAATGGATTGGGGTGTGAAACCCAGAAGAAAAAAACCCCTGGAAAACAACAACAACAACAACAAAAAAAGCCAGAGGATATAGTGTCTGGCAAGACTGAATACTATACTAAGTCAAGAAAGCATGTATGTTCTTTTTCTTCTAGCATTCCCTGCCTATCCCTCCCCACTTTCTGATTAAGTAGATGATACAACAAGGATAGTTTGACTGACCATACCCCTGATGAGTAATGCACTCGGAACTTTAAAAAAAAAAAGGGGGGGGGGCCTGGTACAAAAAGTATTTTGTTCAAAGGAACGACCCCAAATTATTACCAAACAGGCATCCAGGTCACCAGACCCCTTATCAGATCACTTCAGACCCAGTGTCTCTATAGTGGGGTGATAATGCCAAAACTTTACATCAGGGGTCAGGCATGGGTTGGAAGGTTTTCGCTGCTGAACTGGTTTTTCTTAGTCTGCTGCTCCGTGGCCTCCTCTTTGCATGCCTCGTGTCATGAAATCAAGTCACTCCTCTGTTGCGAAGGGATAGGAAGAGGTAGGAAGCAGCACTACTAGAAGCCCAACAATGCGGCACCTGACTTCCTGCCTTGGCCTTCTTCACTAGCTATGTGATTGAGAGCAAGGTACTGATCTCTCAGAGCCTCTTTCTTTATGTGGCCAAAGGTAGCGGGATAAGGAGGAGGACCTTGTGTGGCTATTGTGAGGACTGCAGATAACAGACAGCATCTCCTCCACAAGGGGCCCAGCAGGGGTTGAGGGCCCAGAAAACTCTCACTTCAAGTTGTTCCCCCCGACCTTGAGTTCCTGGGCTTTGGCCTTCTCAAGCATGCGCAGGGCTCGCTGGTGGGCAGCCTCCAGCTGTGCCTTAGTAGCCAGGCTCTGCTGCAGGCTGTCCTGGAGCTCTTGCTGCAGCTTCTCCCTCTCCTGGTCCGACAGCTGCTTGAGCGCCTGCAGGTCGTCGCGGTAGTCATTGGTACACTGCTCCAGAGCCCGCTGCAGTTGAGAGACCTGTGGGGAGACATCCTGACTCAGGCCCTTCCCAGGACTGTAGTCTGCTTTCCTTCCTTCCTTCCTTTTTTCCTTCCTTCCTTCCTTCCTTCCTTCCTCCCTCCTTCCTTCCTTCCTTCTTCCTTTTCTTTCTTTCCCTCCCTCTCTTGCTCCCTCCCTTCCCTCTCCTCTCCTCCCCTTCCTTTCCCTTCCCTTCCCATCCCTTTCTGTCCTTTCCTTCCTTTACCTTTTTCCTTTCTTGCTAGTCCTGGGGCTTGAAATCAGAGCCTGAGCAATGTCCCTGAGCATCCTTTGCTCAAGATTAGAGGTCTGCCACTGGAGCCCAGCTCCACTTTGGCATTTAATTGGAGATAAGAGTCTCATGGACCTTCCTATCAAGGCTGGCTTTGAACCGTGATCCTCAGATCTCAGCCTTCTGAATAGCTAGGATTACAGGTGTCAGCCACTGGTGCCTGGCTAGGACTGTAGTTTTCAAAGCAAGATTTCCAACCTAGATGCAACTCACTGCCTGTGGGAATTCTCAGTAGAGGGTGGGAAACATAAGCTTTGAGAACCTGCAGTTAAGTTAAACTTAGACCTGCACCAGAGGATACCCTGACTGCCAGGAAGGAGAGAAGACCCGATGGGAGAAAAATCAAGATGAGACCAGACTTCCCTGCGGAAGGCAGAGGTCTCAATGGTCTCCCTCATCTCCTTCCTGGGCTTACTCAAGTGTCATTGTTACTGAGGCCTTTTCCTACAGCTGCATTTAATATGCCTCCTCTGCAGCTCCCCAACACCCCACGACTCATCCCTTCCACATGCTTGTTCTCTTTCCCCAAGTTCTTTTTTTTTTTTTTTTGTCGGTCGTGGGGCTTGAACTCTGCACCTGGGTGCTGTCCCTCAGCTCTTCAGCTCAAGGCAAGCATGCTACCACTTGAGCTACAGCACTACTTCTGGTTTTCTAGTAGTTTATTGGAGATAAGGGTCTCACGAACTGCCGGGCACTGGTGGCTCACGCCTGTAATCCTAGCTACTCAGGAGGCTGAGATCTGAGGATCACCGTTCAAAGCCAGCCCGGGCAGGAAAGACTGTGAGACTCCTATCTGCAATAAACCACCAGAAAAACCGGAAGTGGCGCTGTAGCTCAAGTGGTAGAGTGCTCACCTTGAGCTGAAGAGCTGAAGGACAGCGCCCAGGCCCAGAGTTCAAGCCCCACGACCGACAAAAAAAAAAAAAGAGTCTCACGAACTTCCCTGCCCCGGGCTGGCTTTGAACCATGATCCTCAGATCTCAGCCTCCTGATTAGCTAGGATTACAGGCGTGAGCCTATTTTTTTTTTTTTTTTTTGGGGCCCGGTCATGGGGCCTGAACTCTGGGCCTGGGCGCTGTCCCTCAGCTCTTCAGCTCAAGGCTAGCGCTCTACCACTTGAGCCACAGTGCCACTTCCAGCTTTTTTCTCTTTGCTTATGTGGTGCTGAGGAATCGAACCCAGGGCTTTGAGCATGCAAGGAAAGCGCTCTACCACTGAGCCACCTTCCCAGCCCCGTGAGCCTGTTCTTAACACCTTCTAATTCACTGTGTGATTCAGTTCACCTATTTCTTTGTCTAGATGTTAGTGTTCACTCACTCATCCTCTGCTAAGACACACAATCCATAAATCCCTTCCTCCCTGCAGGGGGATGCTTCCAGGACCTCTGCGGTTACCAGGTACCATAGGTCGTCTCTGCATAACACATCTACACATCCTCCTGAGTATTAAATCATCTCTATACTCCTTAGACCTAATACAAGGCACACAAGTAATTACTAAACTTCATTGTTCAGGAAATAGGAAGAAAAGCAGAGAAGTCTGTAGATGTTTACCCACAGGTGCATTTTTCCCCCCAAACATATTCAATCTGTAATTGATTGAATCCATGAATATTGAAACCAAGGACACACAAGGCTGATGTATGTAACACTGTTATATTCCACATGCTGCTGGCATTATACATTATATGATGAAAGGCAATAATTATATATAATGTAATTACATTTGTATAACTGTATAATGTCATGCCTTATATATACAACCCAAGGGCTTTTATCTGGATGGTTTGTTGCTATCAATCATTCATTCATCTGTGATGCTGTGAGCACAGGAATTTGGAATAAATACACAAAACCAATAGGGCTGGGAAGGTGGCTCAGTGGTAGAGCGCTTGCCTTGCATGCCTGAGGCCCTGGGTTCGATTCCTCAGCACCATATAAGCAGAAAACCGGAAGTGGCGCTGTGGCTCAAGTGGTAGAGTGCTAACCTTGAGCTGAAGAGCTGAGGGACAGCGCCTAGGCCCAGAGTTCAGGCCCCACAACGGGATCCCCCCCAAAAAAACCCAAAAAACCAATAATAACAACAACAACAATAATGCCTTCCTAGCTCAGCTAGGAGCCAGGCCCCACAAGGCTTCCCCACGCTGCCCGAGGAGGCAAGTCTCGAGTGTGTGCAGTGCGACTTGTGCACAGCCTACCCCTTCCCCAGGTAGGACTACCTGGGTTTGCAGCCTGGCCTTCTGGCTCTGCCAGTCCTCCTGGAGACGTCGAATTTCAGGTGCTTTCTTTAGCAAAGAGCCCAGTGGAGGCTGTGGGTCACTTCCCTCCTTGAGGGGCACTTCAATCCTTTGGAGGTAAAGACAGCATCACTAAAGGTCCCAGGAAAGGACATTACTGCCCTGATCGTGCCTCAGCCTGGGAGGAGGGGGCTCTAGTCACTCACCACTAGTGGGTGAGAAACACCTTGTTTTTCTTTCATCAGGCAGCCTGACATATAAATTATAAGTGTTACTGCACAAGATTCTGCAGGAACTACTGATCTGCATTTTAGTGGGTGCTTAGTAAGTAAGGATGGGCTGTCGGGGGACAGAGAGCTCAGAGTGCTTTCCGTGGTCTGCGGAGGCACCAGAAAAGAGGTCTCTGTGGTCTAATTTCATAATTCTTTCTGCCTAGGAGAAAAAAATAACATCTTACACAATATTTTATACTTTTCAAAGCTTGCTCATAACTTTCACTCTCTGTCCCCAGTTATAAATTGGGGAATTATAAATAGGGCTGCCTTATGTAGCATGAATGCAAAAAAATGCTAGTTGAAAGCTTCAGTACTCTCTGTATCCTAGCGAAATTGCTAACAAATGCTGGGAAGGGGTCAGTGGAAGGGAGGATGATCTTTTCTCAATTCTGAGCTTTGGAATTAGCCAAGAAAGTAAAACAGGAGAAAGAAACCCTCCTGATAGGATTGGTACCCTTTAAAGAGCCAATAGAGAATTATCTATCTACCCATCTATCTCTCAGTGAGAAGATGGCTGTCTGAAAAGAGAATCCCCCCTCCCCAATTAGGAACTCAAGTGACCAACAGTAATTTTTGATAGAACACTAACATCTGACACTCAGCTAGGAGCCAAGTGTAAGTAAGCACCATAGAGCCTGTCCAAGCGAAATGAAGACAGGATCCAAAAATCATTGAAAATTTGAGGATGTTTGTTACAGCACCAGCAGCTGACTAATGCAGATAATATAGGTGGAGATTTTGCTTGGTTAACAAATATCCCCTAACTGGATAAAGGTTTGTATCAGTCCTGTCTTGAATCTTGGGGAGGATTACTAATGTTTTTGAGCTGCAGGTTCTGAAATTTATAAAATAACCTTTTTGCGTATGACATTCAATAAGGTAGTTTATGTAAAGCACATATGCAGAAGACGTGTAAGATATATGTCTGTTCCTCACTGAAACAGGATGTAAAGTGTGGCAATGAATACTTGAGGACTGAAAGAATCCTTCCATATCTGAGCACTCTTGTGTTAAAGATTGTCCACAAAAATACCTTTCTTCTTCTTCCTCACTGCTGGTTCCTTCTTCAGCTCCTATCTTATCTTGGTACTCTTCTCTGGTAAGTGTCTGAGAAGTTTCCTTCAGTTTTGAACAAGAGTCCTAAATCAAAGAGAATGACAAGATAAGATTAAGTGCAGTTTCCTAATTAAACCTGGCTCTTTGAAAACAGAGAGCCATTGACACTTGCTGCTGGCACAGAGCTTATAGGTTTGGGATGATAAGGCTTGTGATGATGAAAGAACTAGATCTGCCCTGGTTTAAGATCACTGTCAGTCCTTCTCTGTGATTTTTCTGTCTGCAAAGCAGTTCACATGGTTGATGAAACTACAGCCCAGAGAGAATAAGTAATTTGCTCTATGTACACAGAAAGTGAATCAGGGAGAGGATGTGCAACAGTGTATCTTGGTGTATGAACTCTTCACTACTCTGAGAGACCATCTTATGTTCAAACAGAGTGGTCCTTGCTGGGCCCAATTTTGGGGCGTGGGGAGGATCAGAGAGTAGCACTGACACAGTCAGTGGTCAGTGCATATGAGCAGCTGAATTATTACTATAGTCATTTTGTAGGTTGCAGTGTGCCACATTCATCCCATAAAATCAGAAACATGGAACTCATTAGATGACTAGAAGCATAAAGAAATGGGAATCTGGGGAAAGAATATGCATATGATTTGTTAACAGTGAGGCTTCTCATTTTTAAAAAAATCAACTGAATTTGTTTATCTCACCAATACCTCTTTTCCACTAAAGATAACAAAAGTCTTAGTTTGTCATAGTAATCACATCCAGGGAGAACAGTGTAATGTGACAAGCTGGACACAGATTTGTTTGGTATCATATCTGATTAGATAATGATGAATTATATCTAGGTTTTTTTGAACTTCTCTTTTTTTGGACTTGTTCATAAACTAGAGACTGCATCTCCAATTAACCAACCAAATTCCAGGCTAAAAGCTTGGCTCAAGTGGTAGAGTGCTAGCCGTAAGTGGGCAAGCTGAGCAAGCACGAATCCCTGAGTTCAAGCCCAGGTACTAGCAAACAAAACAAAACAAAACCAAACCAAGATAAACTTCAGAACTCCAAGAAACAGATAAAGAAACACACTTAAAAGGAAATTTTAAAAGTTAAACATATTTATATGTCTATTCAAAAGTTAAAAATGAGCCAGGCGCCAGTGGCTCACACCTGTAACCCTAGCTACTCAGGAGGCTGAGATCTAAGGATCACGGTTCAAAGCCAGCCTGGGCAGAAAACTCTGTGAGACTCTTATCTCCAATAAACCACTAGAAAACCAGAAGTGGCACTATAGCTCAAGCGGTAGAGCGCTCAACTAGAGCTGAAGGGTGCCCAGGCCCATTGTTCAAGCCTCATGACTGACAAAAAAAAAAAAGTTAAAAAATGAACAATATAATAATGTCAACCTAAGTAGTTGGAAAGAGATATGGAAGATAAAATAAATGAAATAGGAAAAAAAACCCAAACCTGACCAATACATCTTAGACACACTTTTCAAAAAGACACATCAAATTTCTGTAGGCCTAATAAAGGAAAAGAGAAAAAGTAGCTCAAAGCAACATGAATAATGGACAGACTCTCACAACAGAACAGAGATTAAAAAGAATTTCAAAACTTGTTCAACCACTTTGGAAAGCAGTATGGAGGTTCCTCAAAAGACTTCACATAGAACTCCCCTATGACCCAGCAATCCCACTTTTAGGCATTTACCCAAATGTTTACAAACAAGACCATACTAAAGCTACCAACACAACTATGTTTATTGCAGCATTATTTACCATAGCTAAGATATGGAACCAACCCAGATGCCCCTCAATAGATGAATGGATCAAGAAAATGTGGTATATATACACAATGGAATTCTATGCCTCCATCAGAAAGAATGACATTGCCCCATTTGTTAGGAAATGGAAAAACTTGGAAAAAATTATATTAAGTGAAGTAAGCCAGGCCCAAAGAAACATAGGTCCCATGGTTTCCCTTATTTGCAATATCTAGTAGATGTATGAGTCAAGCGGAAAAGGTCAGATAATGTGATGTCAGGTAAATGAACCCTTAGATATGTATTTAAATGTCTTTTCCTTTCATGCATGTGTTTCTAACGCATTTATAAGATTATCTCTTTGTTGCTTTGTATGTCCCTCCCCCACAGTATAACCCCTGCTTTCACTATATTTGATGTCAGTATAACTTGTGGAGGAGATGGGGGAAAACCAGTTGTTTAAGGATACAGGTGGACCTGTTGCAACAATGAGAAGTACAAGTTGTCATGTCCAAAATGAGCTTTACAACGTAGGTGGGGGGGGACGGGGGGGGGGGGAATGGGGGGAAGGAGAAGGATTGGGATTGGGGGGGGAGGGGGGAGGCTGGGAAGGGATGTGAAGGGTAAACAAAGGAGGAGGCTGCAATGCTTGGTAAGAAATGTACGCATTATCCTGCCCATGTAATTGTAACCCCTCTGTACAGTATGTTCACAAATAAAGTTAAATTAAATTAAAAAAAAGAATTTCAAATGTACTCAGAGCTGCCAAGAAGCCCGTGAAAGAGAATCTGCAGGATGTAATTTCTGAGCTGCTTTATTGACCACTGCTATATTTAAAGGCATTCTGGGCAGGAACCCAGGAACAAGAGCAACTTAAAACATTAAAAGAGCTGATGCATCAGGTAACAACACCATCCTCAGATACATCATGTTAGTTTATTTTCATGTATTATCTCATGGTTGCAAGGAAAGGCACTGTTCTCCTTGATCTCGAGGAAGCACTAATATTAGAGATGTCCAGTGACTTGCCTCAGGTAACATGGTCACTGGAAGGTTCATCAAAAGAGTAAATAGTAAGTAGTGTCCTGTATTGGTAATATAAAGCATAACAATCTCATGGTAGTCTCAGTAGATAAAGAAAAATGTTTATGACAAAAATTGAACACTTTTTCATAACTTAAAAAAAAAATCAATTACCTAAAAATAAATGCCTAAACCCATAGAAAAGATCATACATAAAACTCATATAGTTACCACCATTATCTTTAGTAACAAATGGTAAGATTTTGTTCTAAGACAAAAAACAGGATACCCATTTCTACCACTTCCATTCAACATAGTCCTAGATGTCACAGCCAGAGCCAGGTGATGGTGGCTTATACCTAAAATCCTAGCTACTCAGTACATTGAGATCTGGAGGATCATAGTTTAAAGCCAGACCAGGCAGAAAAGTCTACATGACTCAATTTCCAATTAACTGGCAAAAAGCCCGGTAGAGGCAAGTCTAGAGTGGTAGAACCCCAGCCATAAGCAAGCAAGTAAAGGTGTGAGGCACTGAATTTAAGTTCCAGAACTAACAAAAAAAGTAATCCAAATCACAAAGGAAAAGTGTCCCCATTGGCAGATGATATAATCTTTCTATAAAAATATTACAGAAAAATTTCAGAATTAAAAAAATCAAGTAATTGAAGAGTAGAATCATCCCACAAAAATTAGTCACATTTCCACACATTAACAATGATCTAAAAAAGGGATTTGGAAAACAATTCCACTTACAAAGTACCAAGAGGATAAAATACCTAGGAATAAACTGTATTAAGGACACAAAAAATATACTGAAACTGAATCACTGATGCAAGAAATGAAAGAAGATTCATAAAAAGGAAAGGTACCCTGTGATCATCATTTGGAGATGAATATTGCTAGACATCCATTCTACCCTTTAAAATCTGCAGATTTAATGCAAACCCTGTGAAAATTCCAAAGGCTATTCTTAGTGAGGTAGGAAAAACTGATCTAAAAATCATACTGACCATGAATAGGCAAATCAATCTTGAAAAGGAAGAATAAAGTTATAGCAACTAACACAGGATTGTAGTGGTGCATAAAGACAGGTAATAAACCAATGGAATAGAGTCCAGAAATAAACACATACATTTTTAGTTAATTAATTTGCAACAAGAATGTCAGTAATACAAAATGGGGAAAGCTGGTCTCTTCTACTATTCATACACACATATTGTTTTTGCTCCTTATCTTACATTAGCCATGAAAATCAATTCAAAATGGACTCAAGTAAGAAACAGATTGTAAAAAAATTCCTAGTATAAAACAAATTTGTGATATTGTCTTAGAAATCATTTCATATATATGATTCCCCAAACCATAGGAAATAAAAGCAACCAACTAGGATTATATTAAGCAAAAAAGCTTCTGCACAGTGAAAATAATAAGTATAATGAAGAGATAACCTATCAAATGGGAGAAAACATTTGCAAACTATACATCTCTTTAGGAATTGATCTAAAAATATGTAAGAACTCCTACAAATCAACAGTAAAAATCAATCAATAACACAATTTAAAACATAAGCTAAGGATTTGTGTGTGTGTGTGTGTGTGTGTGTGTGTGTGTGTGTGTGTGTGTGTGTGTTGGTACTAGGGCTTGAACTCAGGGCCTCACATCTTTGCTCAGTTTTCTTTATTCTTTTCTGAAACTGTGTAATTTCTATTTTTTGTATTATTTTCTTTTTCTTTTAAAAATTGTTATTATCAATGTGGTATACAAAAAGGTTGCATTTATATAAGTCAAGTAATGAGTATACTTCTTTTTGGACAATGTCACCCTTTCCTTCACTTTCTCCCAGTTTTTCACTCCCATCGCCACCTACAAGTTGTATAGTTATTTTTTAACATAGTGTCTAGTGAGTACCCTGCTACATCTATTCACCCTTTCTCACTCCATTTCTGTGCCCCCTTACACTCCCAAAGACAGATAAATGAATAAGCAAGACAAAAAGAAAACAAAAGCAGCAACAAAGAAAAAACCCTCTTGTTTTTATTTCCTGAAGCTCATTTTGATAAATCTTATTTTATACACATAGATACTGTGCTTTGAGGATCCTTTCCTAAGAATACCTTCCTCTAGTCTCACTGTGTGTGAATGTCCTGCATAATTTACTATTTCCAATGTATATTAGATCTAGCTTCTGCATATGAGAGAAAAGATATACTATTTGTCTCTTTGAGCTTGGTCACCTCACTTAACATGATTTGTTCTAGGTCCACCCATATCCCTATAAATGATGTAATATTCTTTCTAA